TAGACAATGATTAAAAAAGTATTTCTCCAAAGTGTTAAACACTGCCGTCAAAATTGACACAATATTGTAGTAATTATTCAAGCAACGACCAAAATTTTCTTCTGCAAATTGAAGCATATTATAAGGCTATATTTGTACATTAATTATAAAATCGTATTCCATTTTTTAATGCAACCAAATAAATTTATTGAAACTAAGTGTAGCAGATCGTCGATATATTTTTGGGGGGTTGTTTGATGGGATAAAAAAAGCCAATATCACTGTTAAATAATACTAGTTTTATTACTGACTGGTATAAAAATAAACATATTAATCTTAAAATAAATTTAATGCTAAAAATGCATTATACAATGTACAATGTATAATATACATGCCTTACAACCTTAAAATAAACACGAAAGTGACGAATAAAAAAATAAATATTTCACATATCGGTGTTTTGGAACGCCCTTATATATAAATATATAATATTTCACTTGCAGCTGCTTCGATTACCTAAAAGATTATTTATATAGGGTTGTCCAAAAAAAATTTAACATTTTTCTAATAAAGGATATTTTTAATTTTTTTGTCTATACATTTTTAAGTGGAATCAACACTTTTCTAGTTTTTTTGTTTTATAACTTATTTTTGTAAAAAGTAAATATATTACTAAAAATGCAGTGTTGTTTTTAGATATTTAAAGCAAAAACGCATTTATACGAGGTATACCTACACATTTAATTTTTAACTTTTGTTTTTAAGCACAACTACACTGAAAAAAAAGGTGCCCTTAAACTAAACTAAACTAAACTAAAGTAGTCAACTCTCTTGATAAAAAATTATCAGCCGCAAGAAACAATATTTTAGCATAAAAGAGTATTTATTGCTTGAAGAAAAAAGTTCTTACTCGAAGAAGTATAGTTCTCTTAAAAACAAATACAAAATCTCTTGAATGTTTCTTCTTTCAACCAAGTGCAAAGTGTTTTTGTTCAAAAGCCATGATTTACGCAATTCATTCAAGATACATCACAATTATCCCAATAGCATGTCAATTTTCTAACAACATCTGGTAGCTTCTGATACACACGTGTGTAGTACGTTTTGTATTATTATTATTTCAACTTGCAATTCGATTCGGCAGTGATATAATATTATAATTCTATTATAGGTATTTCTAATAAACATTTTGCCGGTTGTATTGTGACAGTGGAGTTGGAATCATTAAAACTCTTTTTAAATGAATGAAATTTAATTAATTTGTTTAATGTTTTTGAAGGTAAACTATTAATTAAAATATGTAATACAAATTTTATGTTAAATCATATTTATGTTGGTTTATTAGTGTAAACTTGCGCTTTTGTTAATATCAAACAATAAATGTTTTTGTTAACCTTTTTTTCGGTCAATCTTCTGGTTTTCAACGATGCAAATATTTAGGCTTGAACTACCCTCACTATGAAGGTACTTGATTTAAATTGTTAAATACATTTTTTAATAATTAAAATCAAAAGGCCTATGTCGTGAGGGGAATTTAAGCTTAAATACTAACAACGCTGGTAGTTTCAGAGAAGATCAGAAGCTTTTGAATAAAGCAATACATAGTATTGGACCAAAAGATATTTGCTCTAAAATAAAAAAAAAATGTGGTCAATAGTCAATGTCAATAGTACCTATATGCTTTTGTAGTAAGACAGATTTTCTTTCAAGAAAGTTCCTAAGCTTTTCAATTAAGAGATGCAGTTTAAATCCTATTTTTTTGCGCTAAAAAACGTTTTCTTCATTCAAAAGAGAAATCTCCGAAAAAATATTTTTGGTTCTTGTACCAAGAAATCGCTTGCTATTGATTTAAGCTAATATTGTAATATTCTTAAACGAATAGATTAATCTCTCCCGTCAAGTAATTAAAAAAAAATTAGTTTCTGATTAAGATTAACAAACATGCGTCTTGGCCCTTTACAAAAGCGCAAAGTGATTTTCATTTTTTTTAAGAGATTATTTTTTTTATTAAAACTACCCAACTTGCACACATTTTTCACACAACTTGCGAATAAGTTTACCACAACGAAGTACCTACCAAAAATACATAAACTTGGATTGTAGTATTGTTGCGTTCTTCATCACAGACTAAATATATTTAGCAACTAACCACATTGTACAAAAAAATTGTAGCAATAATGTATACATTATTGCTACAATTTTTTTGTACAATGTGGTTAGTTGCTTGTTTTACACATTACCAGTACATTTTCTACACTTTGCGGCAACTCTCTTACAGAAAAATTATGTACTATATATAGTATTGAATATAATTGAATATATTCAATTTAGATAAAACAAATGAGACCAAAAAAGCTGCAGCCAATATCGAGAGCTCTCGCCTAGGTTAAACTTAGGAGCTTTAAAAATTGCGAAAATGACTATAGAACATTGTTGTCTTAAAACTTTTAAAAATCTTTTGTCCAACTGAGTTTACTAACTTTTCAAAAATGAATATCATACTTCAGGATGCCAAAGTTTTAAAGTAAACATTAAAGAACTAGTTTTGTACCCCAGAGCCAAAATCTCTAGCAACCCTTACAGAATTCCAGTCTAGCGGGATTATCTTCCGGCTGCAGGTTCTGCACTCGCGTAAAATGAACGTCCTTCATAACCCGCTGAAAATTCGCCTGCAACTTCCCTTTTGCTCTTCCTACTATTTTCACTAAAGGCATTGAACATAGCTTTTAATTTTTCGCTGTTCTAATACTTTAAGGAGCCTTCAATTTCGTTACGACGCAGAACAACTTTACAGTCCAGGGGACGATCGGGAAAGAGCATTGCGCCCAAAATCATCATTTATGAATTTATGTGTTGTTTTCATATTCATTATGACTGAGAAATCATAATAATTTTAAAAAAGTTCTTAGTGTAGGGAAATATAATGATAATAAATAGAAAAAATTAATCTAAATAACATTATGGGTTGGTATTTATCAATTTCTTACGTTTTCAGTTATAAAAATGGCAGTAAATTCATTAAATATTGGTTGGATAAGTTTTTTTTATGAATCTGCCCTTTTTTCTCACTACTTTTGGCGATTTGGTCGAAAAAATAAAAATAAAAACGATTTTTTTCAAAAACTCCTAATGGTGAACCAATGCGAGTTACAAAAAAAACTCAAAAGCAATTTTAAAGAGCGTGAAATTCCCCATAAGATGTATTAAACCGATTTGCAATATTGTCAAAGGTGGGTAAGCATTAGAAATATATATTTTTTACATGCATTTTAAACGGTTAAACTTTAAATTTAAATAGTAAGTGCTTAAAATTAATATTAAGAGCTCAAACTTGGTGAGAATGTTTTTTCCTATAAGCAGATTAATATTTTGCTTGAGCACCGAAAAAAAACAAAAACTTTGCGGAAATGAATCACCCTAATCAACAATGCATCCTAAGTATCCTAGCAATTTAAAGAATTCCCTATGGTCATGGCTATCGTTTTTTATTCTTATCTCGATTATCTTTTGCGTTAGATAATTTTAATTTTCAAGTATGTATGTGTCCAGCGCCGTAGCTACAATGGTTCCGTGGGTTCGGTGGAACCAGGCCCGCTAGCTTAAGGGGCCCGCGGCCAGCGATTGGAAAAAAAATTATTTTTTTCAAATGTTTGGATTAATTTTTTTAAATATATTTCAACATTCACAGGGCATTTATTTATAATAATGGCTTAAGGCTTAGTAAATAGTAAAAGACCACCAATAATAATAATAATAATAATAATTTTTGCTTGAATCATGTAAAAGCGAGTCAAAATTAAAACTATTAACAACCCGTTGGTCTTCACGCAATGATGCAATAAAGCCCTACGTTTTAGGTATCTTGATGTTCTTAAGGCCTTGTCAAAAACTATTTTAATAATAAGGCTGAATTAGACGACTCGAAAGAATTTAAAAGTACATTGGAGGACTTTGACAGTGTTTCTGATTATTTTACAATCTAACGTTTTAAATCGCATATACAGAGTATCAAAACTCTTACAAAATCAGCAGCAAGATATCCAAAAATCTAGTAAACTTTTAAAATATGTGTTAAATGACATAAGTAAACTTCGGAATGAATTTTTAGATATAAAAAAGAGGCCAATATTACATCAAGCAAATGGGGTATAATTCCAAATTTTGTCAAAAACGTATTCGAAAACGTTTTTTTGATGAAGTTGCAAATGACTTTGTTTTTTAAACTCCTGAAGATACTTTTAGAGTTGAAGTTTTTTTTAAGACCCTAGATATTATATCAGACAGTTACAAAGTAAAACAATTAGTTTACATCAAATAGCCACAACAGAAGTTCTGTTAAATTCTACTGATACAGAAGTATACCAAATGGCGGAAAACATTCGTGAAATATATGAAGATGATATTTTAGACTTCCCTATCAATTAATAGCTTTTCAAAAATGTTTTTCTGACGAACTAAAAAATATTAAGTCAGTAAAGAATTTGCTAAACACTATGTTTTCTATACCTTACAATTCCTGTGACGGTTGCATCGGCAGAACGATCGTTCTCAAAACTTAAGTTAATAAAAACGTATTTAAGGAACTCCATGAGTCTATATCGATTATCGTCTTTGGCAATGATCTTCATTAAAAATACAGTTGCCCGCTCCATAGATTTTCAAGGAATTATTACAAAATTTTCCGATGCTAAATCTAGGAAAGTAGCTTTTTAATGGACACTTTTATTTTTTATGCCCTTATATTTTGTTTATAATATATAATTATAAATAGTTTTATTAGTTTTGGTTTATTTTTCCTGTGTATATATATATTTTATATACTAAAAGTTTATAGACAATATATAGTCTTTTATTTTTTCTTCACTATTAAAGCCATAGATTTAAGGTGGTATAAAGGTTGTTATGTTCCTTCCAAATATAACATAAAAAATATTAATTAGTATAAAATAAAAAAAACACCTAGAGGCCCGTGGGTATATAGCCTGGAACCCGGGCCCGTTGGGTTGTTGCTACGGCGCTGTATGTGTCCACTCATGCTTTCTTCTAATTTTCAGGAGGGAGTGACAGATCCTCCGAGCATATCGTCGATAAGCAGATTACTGCGAGGAAACGGTCGCGGTGGCGGCGGTGCAGGCGGCAGGGACGATCCCGAGGGCAAAAAAGATTACACAATCAATGGAATACTAGGTGGTAAGTCTCTTTTGTCAATAACTAGGCCAAGCCGATGATGGTGGTGGCTAATTTTTTTTCGCGTTAGTTATTTGCTTTGCAAAGCGAGCTTCTTGCCTGATGTAAAGAAATTTTAATTCGATGTTGACAAAGCCGATATTCAGGAAATTATTAAGAATTAAAACTGTTTGCGTAGGATATTAGCAGGCTGCTTACAAATTTACGTTTTAAAATTATGATTTTTATATTTTGCTTTATTAAAAACACAAAATACCAGTTAAAACAGTGGTAGGAAAGTTTTAAAGGTTATTTTAATAAAGGGGTCTATTTGCTTAAATTAAAATCTGAATAAAATAGGGCCTTTCCATTTCAAATCGACCAGGAAAAAAGGGGTAGGTCGTTATTTTTTAACGAAAATTTTTTTACAGTTTCTCTACCGAAATCGATGAGACCCGTATTTTTTCTTTTTGCTTAAATTTGTTTTGTTCACCCGTAGAAAATTTTTGAAAAAAGAACAGAAACATCGCTTTTTCCCTTTTTACGAGTGACATTTTTTCTTAAAAATGCGATAACTTGGCCAATACTGTTTCGATCTTTACAATTTTTTTTTAAATTATAGGTAAATGTTTACTACATACAAAAAAAATATAAGGTGAATTTACTCAATTTTTTTTAAATTGTTTTATCTAAAAAATGCTAAAAAAAAGAGGTCAAAATTTGAACAACTTTCAGAGTCCTTAATAATATGAACAACTTTCACCAAGAGTCCCGAGTCGGCTAAATTCATCGTTTCGGAAGTATTATTTTTTATAGTAAATTCGTCTAAGGTCACCCCAGTTTCATTACCCTATAGGGTAATGAAACTGGGGTGACCTTTATAAAGTGTAATTTAAAACTTTTTGACAAATTTAACATATTTTTGTTACTTCTGGTTTCAACGGAAAAGGTCTTAACTTTTTATTTTTTCATAAAACACCCTATGCATTTTTACATATTTCCATTCAAAATAAAATTCTAAATACATCCTACATATGAGGCAAAGTCAACAATCTCCCATCAGACTAAAACTGAGTAAATTGAAATAATTGATTTTGGTATTTTAAATTCTAGATTTGTAATTTTTTTTATATTTTATATTGAAATATTGTTGTTGTTAGTCTAGTAGCCAACTACAAGGTTTCCAGGACGCATAGTATGGGTGAAATCTATAATTATAAATTAGAGATTGCTGACTTTGATATGAATTGCTGGAGATTGCTCATTTTGTTGTAAACGTTTAAGGAGATTTAGAAAAATAAACAAAAAAATAATTGTTTTTTATTCCTTTAATGGGTATAAAATTTAACTATACAATAAATGTGGGAAAATTCTGAACTGGACCACATAAATCTGGAGTTTATTCTAAATCTGGGACCAGGTTGCCTCGTGCAAAAAAGTATTTATAGTACAACAACTCATCATCTTCTTCCCACTTTGCCCCGTAATGTTTTACTTGCAATGTTTTGACATTATCAGCCATTTCTTGCTTTACCTTTACGTATTATTATGGTATAATAGCACAAAATAAACAACATAACTTTTTTATAATTCTTGAAACAATAAAACGTAGATTTACCTATTTTAAATATATTTTTTAAGTGCAATTTACTGCAATAGAACTTAACAGTATGTACCAGTAAAAAAACACAAAATTAAATCTCTAAAATACGTTATAACATCAAATGTTATGATATCAGGGGACACAAATTACTAATTTCTAATGGTGGAATTGTAGATTGTATACTTTGCTGCAAATCTATCAGTGGAGATTGTCGACTTTGCACTAAATGTCATTTTTAAAATAGGATTTTAGGCAGGATTTAGCTCCTTTTGCAGCATATAAACTTTATCATCTTATAGATAATTAGTTGAAGTACAGTCTCCGCCAAAAATCTAATTTTTGACCAAAAGTGGAGATTATCGCTTTTGCTATGACAGGCCTCATATGTCATTTTTGACAGGTCAAATAATTTTTTGATTAAATTTTATTTCTATATCTAAAGTGCCTTGAATTGGCTTTTCTGCTTCATGTTGGGCCAAGTAGTCTGGAAAAAATACAATTTTATTCTTTTTTTGGAATGCTGCTTTCAAAAATTGAAAAACCATACTTTATGCCAAACCTATTTTTTAGTAATAAAAGAGTTCGTTGGTCATAAAGAAATTCACTTTTTTTAAATTTGATACCGAATATTAATGCATTTTTTAATAATATCGACTTCAAACTCTTAAATAAATTTGAATGTTTATTAGGTTTAAAAGTGTGTAGTGAAGTAAATAAATTAAGAAGGCTTTGAAACCTTTTTGTGTTAAAAAAAGTATCAGATTTGACAGTTCGTTAGTTTAGTACTGTCGTCATCTTGGTTTTCTTGATATTCACAACGTTTCGATTGGATGTCTGCAATCGTCTTCAGGTGATAATGGTAAAATATTTCGAAACTTTTGTTTAAATAGCTAGTCAATCTTGTTCATTGAGCTGGAACTGTTTAATCTTGCGTAGGATTGGTTTCCACAGAGGTTTGATTCCACGCTTGGTTTGCTGAAAATATTATTATTCTGGCTGATGTATGTAGCTTCCAGGAATTTTCTTTTCAGCCAGTGATTTTTTGCGTTTAACCATACCACAATATCTCATGGTTAAACGCAAAAATTCTACACGACCAGCTATTTAAACAAAATTAGTAAAGACGATTGGAGACAATCAATCGAAACTTTGTGAAAATCAAGAAAACCAAGATGACGACAGTCCAATGTAACATTACTACAATTGTAGTTAACTACTTTATCTACCAACACCAAATCACTAGTTCGTTGGTTTGTTTTGCTTGTAAGTGAATATTAACATTTTATTTTACTATGAAAACATACGCTAAAACTTTTTATAAAATAAAATAAAAATAATAATTGAGGTGGTTAGAATCAAAGGGGTGTAAGTAATTGCTCAACATTATTTGGTTTTAAAACTACGAAATAAAATCATTAAACAATTTTGAAAATAGTGTGGCCATGGTGGAAATCTCTGGCAATAAATAAAAAACGAAATATGAAATCAAATAAAAAATTGTTATTGGACCCTCTTGGGCTTAATACTTATTTTCCTTCCTGATAGAGCCTCAGTCAAAAATAATAATTGTTTGTGTTCTACATTTTTTCGAAATCGCGTTTTTATAAGTTTCTTGTGAATTCGATATATTACTTTTAAGCATGTAAAACTTACTTTTAATTATTTTAAGTAAAAACTTACGTATACTTTTTACATGTAAAGATGCATCTTTTAAAAATATTAAGAATTTACATTTTACTCTAAAATCTTTAATAATTTAATTTACTTACTTAAGAGAATTTCAGGTGAAAACAGAAATGACAAAAATATGTTAAATACACTGCCCGACAAAATTAACGTATAATAAGTAAAAAAATTCTAACTCTAAAACGCCTTTACCAATCTTTATGAAAATTTGTGTAAAAATACTTCAACTTATATCGTTACGTGTTTTTCGAGAAAATATTTGTAAGGCCCTTTTATAATAATAAAAAAACGTTTGAAAAATAACTTTTAGGGAATTTTTTTGTTAAGTAAATAAAAAATATGCTGTTAAAGACCGTATTTTTGTTAGTATACCCTGAAAATTTTGTACAAATCAAACGAACAGTAACGAAAGTCGGTAAAAATAACCCCTTTTTGGTTATTTTGCTCAAAAGTGGTCATTTATAACGACTTTGAAACGCTGTATTTTCGTTACTGTTCGTTTGATTTATACAAAATTTTTAGGGTGTACTAACAAAAATACGGTCTTTAACATCATATATATAATATATATATTATATAACAATAATAATTCCAAAACGACTAATTTAACCAACTTATATTATAATATCAATTTCAAACAAAAAAAATATGAAGTAAAAAAAATGTGGCAATGGTAGAGAAACTGAAAAAAAAATTTCGTTGAAAAATTTCGACCCACCCCTTTTTGCCTAGTCGATTTAAGATGAAAAGACCCAATAGGTATACTCTCCAAAAATTACTAATTTTTAAAGTGAAAAAGCAGTCACTAATAACTGTAGTCAATTCTTATGTATAATTTTCCCCTGAATCAAAAAAAAATATTAAGTACAGCAGTTTTTGAGATATAGTCAATTCCATATTATATGAAAAATTTACTATATCTCAAAAACTTTTGACGAAATTTTCGAATTAAGCGGACAATTTTACATAGGAGTTGACTGCTAAATGTCCAGGATACAAATTGCCATTGAAGAGAATTATTAGTGGGAGCTTTTTCGCTATGACAATTAGTCATTTTTGACTAATTCATTTTAAGGGAGTAGTGAAATGAAAACTAGAGGGGCATTTTTTTAACCTTGCTAAAAAAAGCGAAAACAAGAGCTGATAATGTTCATTTTTATCAATATTTGCCTTCAACCACATCTACGATAGTTAAACAAGGTATAGTGTGTTCACTTACAACAAACGTGCCGATTTCTTTTAGACAATTTGCTATCGACAATGAGAAAAATCGGGCTTCCCACCGAGAGTGTTTATGTCGTTTGATTGGTCGGTCGTTTGATGTTGTTGCGACCGTCTTTTGTCGGTGCGGTAAGTCAAACGGGCCGCGCAAGGATATGTTTTCGTTCGGATGACGTCGAAGGACAATTGACTACAATCGGGGACATTGTGCACCTGATTTATGCGCCCGGTATATTAAGCCCACGAAAGTAGGAAGTAATTTTTATTTATTACCTTTAAACGTTTTTCTGTGGGATGTTTATGTGAAGAATTTACCTTCTAAAGGCTCGCTTTCATTGTAATATTTTTTTATAAGCTGATTTAGTTTTTTTCAACTTTTGGCAAAACGAATACAGCCCAGATAGCCCACTAAGTTTAATATTAATGCTATATTCCATTTAAGAATGGAGTAGATGTCGCTCAAAACGAAACCGGTTTACACATGAGAACGCGGTAAATTTAAATATAATGTCGCTGATAGAATATTATTATGTTACAACAAATATGGACAAATCATAGCAACCCTGAATGTATTATACCTGGTATAATATATCATGAAAAATTAATTTACTATACTTATTAAGACCTTTGAACACTGAAAAAATATATGTATTGTATTATTTTAAGAAAATTAGACGAAATTTACATTAAATTAAGAAACATAACCTTAATTATTCGAAAAATTTAGTTAATAACAAATAAAAATGTAAAATTAAATGGTAAAAAAACGGAAAAAAATCCATGGCTTTAAAAAATTGCATTTTTAATATAATATACCTACCATATGTCCGCTTATTACGAACCCGGTATAGCGAACTTTCGGTTAAAACGAACTAACTCCAATAGTATCCACAAACCAAAGTCTTATATAAAGTTTGTTAATTTGTTTGCAAATAACAAACATCGCTTAAAGCGAACCATCGTTCATGGTCCATTACGGTTCTTTATAAGATTTGAACATATTGTAACTGAGATTAAGAAAATAATTACATATTGTTAAAAATGTTTGGATTTTTTAAAATTCATTCTGAACAACTTACGAAGAGTGCTATTAATATCTCATGGCGGATGACCTTGGGTGCGCAAAAGTCTCAAATCCGTCAAATCGCGCTATTACTCGCCGACCTAAAAACATTATATAATAATTATAATATTATAGCGTCTCTCAAGGTCAACCGCCATGAGATATTAATATCACTCTAACTACTATCATGGGGTCCCTACTTACCCCACTGAAAAAAGCTGTTTAAAAACTTGAAATCTAATTTTTTTCGGAGTAAGATTTAAAGAAAATATAAATGCAATTCAGAGAAAAATCCGTTTTAAAAACATTGCACAAAGTTGTGCAACATGCCTTTGGAGCATAATTTTCCATAAATGTGCTAATAATATCGCATACATTATCCAAGATTGATTGGCTTTTCTAATTAGTTTTTTTAAGTCAATTTGTTGGAAACAGTAAGATTTTATATTTAACCATTTGCACAATATTCTCAAGAAAAGAGTTGAAATCTGTTGTTAAAAATATTTCAAAAATAAATTTTACTCTTTTGTACAATTTTTGAAATAATTCGTATAAATATAGTATACTTTAAGTTACAATATAAATTTTACAATATTGGACAATTTTTTCGGGTGTAAAGCATCACACCACCTAAGATAACCAATGAAATGATTTCCCGCTTGAAATAAGACGCCGGCCGGTCGCTCAACTGCAATCTGCATC